AAATCAAAACTTTAAAAAGTAGAATCTGCTACTTTAGTGATTGTTTCAGGCTATACATATTTTTGACAAAAAGATAAACACTTAAAAACAATGCTCATTGTCTCATCGATTTGTGGGTGTGTTTCGTTATTATTGTTGCATTAACCTTAATACAGACTTCTGTAAAAGGAATCAAATGAACAGTTAAGTTTCACCTTGAGAATAAACCTCCCTTTCCCCTACAGCCAGTATTAGCTGAGGGACAGGAGCCGAGGGATAGTAGGAGGTATGTTAAGCTTCCTAGTTCATGCTGCAGAAAGGACTTTTCGTGGATAAATGGTAAAAGCCAAAATTAGGGAAAGAAATCTGGAGGCAAAAGCTAACCTTTGTAGCCTCTCTAAAAGGTGCTTGTTGCCTGGCTGGTGTGGCCCAGTGGTTGAGTGTAGACCCATGCACCCAGAGATTGCTGGTTTGATTCCTGGCCAGGGCACATGCCCAGGTTGTGGGCTCGATTCCCAGTAGGGGGTGGTGCAGGAGGCAGCAGGTTGATGTTTCTCTTTCATCAATGTTTCTATCTCTCCCTCTTCCTTTCTCTCCCTGAAAACAATTACAAATATATAATAATAATAATAATAATAATAATAAAAAGGGGCTTGTTAACTTATTCTATGCTTGAGTGTTATTTGTATGAATAAAGATCTTTGTGTATTGCCAAGCCCTACAAGGAAAACTGTGACTGTTTTCTCTGTTGGCCCACAGATGAGGTTATTTTTCAAGATATTACCAATGGCTGCTGAATGGGTGACCCAGAGGAGAAAGCATTCGAAGAGGAGGAGCACGAACAAGAAGCCAGTGGAGGCGTGGAGACTGTGCCTCTTCCAGGAGGGTGGAGCCGTTTCCCAAACCAGGGACAGTTGTTCCTTATAACCCTGAGCTAGGGCTCCTGATCGATGCAGGGAGGAGAAACAATTGTCCCTCTACCCTTCTGAGTTCTAGGCTGAGATCCCCTACAAAAACAAAAACACATTAGCAGCAGAAAACACATATAAGTTTATTAACCTGTATGCCGCATGTACATAGGAGCTACCCAGGAAAACAGAGAAACTGCCCACGTTGCCACCTTCAGCACTACCTTCTACTAGACCAAAAAGCTACTTGGGGGACAGCGGGAGGGGGCAGTCGTGGAAGGTAAGGAGAGGAAACCAAGGCTGCCCTGCCATGTGGATGTCTCCCCGTTGAAACCATGGTCTCGTAATAGCTCTCTTCCTGGAAGAGGCCCCCTTTCTAAGGTAAGTGCCCTTACAAAAGGGTGACTTCTACTCTGTCCTCAGAGCTTCTCCTGTATGTGTAGTTTCAGAATAATCAGCTAAAGATAAGACTTGGCTAAGAGGCATATTTTGGGGTGATACATTTTGCTATCCTTGTCCAGCTTCCTCCACTTCGCAATTGAAACAATAACTTGATCTTTACATAGCTTACTCCTGTATTTTGATACATGTTTCTCATGTTTCCACTGTTACAAAAATGGCCTTTGGTCTGAAGGTACAGAGGGTCCACGCTCCCCTGAACTCTACTTTTTAGCCCCTTGGATGTAAAAAGGCAAAACAGACTTTAGGAGAACTCTAGCTACTATGAGGGAAGAAAAATAATTTTCCTTTGGAGGTTCCCTAAGAATAGGGGACACCAAGGCAAATTGGGCAGTTGAAGCTTATACACTGTTCTGGACTAAGGAGAGGAAGGCAGGAGTCTGGGACTTCAAAGGGAAAGTAGACCGTTCACACAGAGAGAAAGAGCAAATGTTTGGTAAACAAATTCTTGCTGGGGCCACTGGGAAACAATGGGCACAGAGGCGGAGTCTGTCAAACAGCTGCTGGATTCCTTCCTGTCTGCACCACTCGTTCAGGTTAAGCTGAGATGTCCCATTGAGGTAGGTTTCTATCTGAATTCCTTTAGGCAGGTAAGGGGGAAGGTTCTTTTAGTTTTTTGTTTCTTAAAAATAACCAACTTAATCAATATCCCAAAAGGCATATTGCGGGGTGGCAAACTCAACTTCCCTTTGTTGGTGGTGAAAACGACACCATTGTCAGACAAGTGGAGTCAGACCAGACCTTGGTCCAGCAACCTCGGTACTTAAGTTCTGGCTAAGAAATAATTCAGGTGGGGGGGGGGGAGGGGGTAATGGGGGGATATGGACACATATATAATACCTTAATCAATTTTTTAAAAATTGAAAATAAAAGAATTCAGAGCCAAGACTCAAACTATAAGAGAAAGTTTATTTAGAAAGTCACAGAGGTAGAAGAAGTGAGCGGTAGAAATAAGCTATAGAAGAAATGGGCTCAGGAAACCCGTTACAAAAGCAAAAAAAAAAAAGTCTTTGGAGCTTAGGAGAAACCAGGAAAACACCTGGGGGGAGGGGCCGGGACAGGCACAGGTGTGCTCCATAGAAAGAGCTGAACTGGGTCCTCTGGCTTGAGGGTATTTATCCCGGAGGTCTTGGGAGAGGATTCCAATAGAATATTCATCAGCTTTCCAGGCTGTCCATCAAGGTCATGATCTCTACTGATGGGTCAGCACCAGGGCTGGGGATCATTAGTCAATGCAGCTGGTCCTGACGTCAGCCATGGCTTCCCTCGTTTGGTTTTGCTGCTTTTCTGGACCTGGAGCTGAGACACAACTGAGGCCTCGCTGTACTTGATGCAGGTCAGAACCTCATTTTTGTGGGGGCTTAATGCTTACGGGCTCTTTTCAGGCCCCTTTGTCAGTTCCCCCTCTAAGGGGACTAACCCGCATGCCAGTGGAGGACGGGTCAGGGGAGGTCCTAACCGCATGAAACCAGTGAAATGCTGGGGTAAGAAAGGTTACCCTGGGGGAGAGGTCCTTGTTTTCCAGTTTTGCCTGTTGCTAGGCACCTGGGGCTTTCTGTCCTGGTGCCCTTCTGTACTTGGCCCATCATTCTTGCTCTGCTCACATCTAACTGCCTCCCACACCCTCTCAAAGGATATGCTCTAGTGATCTCCGAGAGAGGGCAAACCAGTGCACACCGGAATAAAGAGAACAACTCAGTTTTCTGACATGCACCACTCCCTTATGTCACTGAAAAACCAGAACCATAATGTGTGTGTGGTTGGGTAGTAATTAGAGGTGCTATTCATGATGTAAGTTTTATGTCTTGGACTGTGGTTTAGTAGGGATTTGTGGTACTCCTCTAACATCCCAAGAGGCAAACCACAGAACTCTAAATGGTGAAAGTTGTCTATATTTTGAGAGATTCTAGTGAGCATTGGATGGTCTTACTGCTGATCGGTGCTTTGAAAAATCTATTGCCTCTGTTACTGAAACCAGGACTTAACAAGAGGTTAAGATAGAATCCTCTTAACTAGTCTGTAAGCCCCAGAGGACAGAAACGGTTTCAGTCTCTCTGTGAGTCCAGAGCAGAGGTGGAGTCTGGAAGGCAAGCTGAGGAGGAGACAGGTGGTCTCACTGTCATTTTCCTTAGGGTACAAAATCTCTTTAATCCATTGGAAGGTGTGATGGTTCATTTTTCTGTGTCGACTTGGGCAGACTAAGGGATGCCCAGACAGCTGGTAAAACATTATTTCAGATCTGTGAGGGTGTTTCCAGAATAGATTAGCATTTGAATGAAGACTGAGTAGAGAGATCGCCCTTACCAATGTGGGCAGGCATCATCCAATCTACTGAGGGCCAGTTCTCTCTCCTCTTGAGCTGAAACAGCCATCTTTTCCTGCCCTGGACATCGGAGCTCCCGGTTCTCAGGCCTCGGGGCTCTGGCAGTTCCACTGTCACTGTCCTGGTTTTCAGGGCTTTAAACTCACACAGAATTATGCCACCAGCTTCTCCAGCTTGCAGACAGCAGATTGTGGGGCCTCGCATCCTCCACAACCACATGAGCCAATTCCTATCATCTCCTCATATATATCTACATATTGGTTCTGTTTCTCTGGAGAACCCTCACTAATGCAGAAGGAAAATGAACAGATACTGGAAGTAAAAGATATCAAGTTCACTTTATATAACTCAAAAGTTTTTTCACTTGACCTTTACCTAGCACCCCAAGCGTAGGGATAGTCTAGCATCCTATCCATAGTATGTAATTAGTGGAAATACTGTCGTTGACCCATTATGAGATTAACTGCTAAGCCCAAAATACCAGCGCAGGTTTATAACAGCAAAAGGCAGACACAGGTCTCCTGCTGGGTAGCTTGTAACTTCATTACAGACCTACTGTTTACTTGCAAAACGAACGTGACGATAGCTGCCCTGAATCTGGAGTATCACACAGCTGCTTTGAATACAACTTGATTTCATTTCATTTGAGTCCTGGTATCATTGCCATCAGCTTCCACAGGAAATGACCAGGCAGGTTCTTGGGAGAGATACACTGTTGTCCTTGCAGGGCTTGGAATAGAGGGGTGGTGGTGAGAATACCTGAAGCAGGTAGATCATCTGTGGGTTTAAAAGAAACTGCTTGCATGTCATCTTGGGATTAAAACTCTCACAATTGTGATGTCATGTTCATTCATAAACACTACTAAATACCACAAACACTATGAGAGGGTAGTTAATGACTCATATTATTTAATGCCAGGCAAGTTCAAACAGAGAAAACGTAAACTGACATCAAGTGGTTCCAATACAAATGAGAGTTCCTTTCTGAGGAGTCTCAATGTGAGGTGACCCGCTCTGGTTGGTAAACTACCCAGGCTTGCTCTAAAACTGGCAGCGAGGAGGTTTTTGTGTGGGTGACATAGAACAAATGAAGTAGAGATCGATAGCTTTTTCAAGAAGCTCTAAAGAGCATACAAATATTGTAAGAACTTTGTAGAATCTGAGGGAAAAAAATAAACAGAAAATAGAAGGTCACCAACAGACCATAGCAAGAAATTAGAAATCAATCACAAAAAAAGCCCGTCAAAACTTCCAATAATTTATGAGTTGAAGAACATATAATGAAATTGACAAAATATTTAGACCTGAATATACACATCAAAACTTGCAAAATGCAGCTGAAGTGGTCATTTGAAGGAGGAGTGAAAATTAATAAGCTAACCCGTCAGTTCAAAACGTAAGGAGAATAAAGGATAAATCCTAAGGAAATAGAAAGAAAGAAAATAATACAAAGCCTGTGTGACATTGAAAAGAATAAAAACAATAAAACAAAAAGATGAGCATTGGAAATGGCCCATTTTCAACTGCTGGCCAGATTAATCAAGGAAAACAAGCAAATGTGTTATGTTAGGTACAAAAGTGGGGGCTACACTGCAGATAAAGTAGATAGCTTTAGAAAAATAAAACGTGGTATATAATTCAAGTGAATACTATAAAGAGTTAGTTTAAAAAACTGAATATACATGTATCAAACAGGTAAATCTAGAAAATGGAAGCTGCAGAAATATTCCTAGAGTATGTTACTCTGTGTGTAAATATTTAAAATGTACTAAGCAATAGTATTTTTTAAAACATAAATGTACTAAAAGTGCAAAAACATGGGGAGAAAGTTAGTCTCCTGGGCAAGAAAAAGAATGGAATTAAAAATGTACAAAAAAAGCTTAACTGGTATAAGACGTATATGATATATTTGCATATATATGTTAACGCTGGGTTAGGCTGTGTGAAATACTGGGCTCTGTACTTTTCTATGCTTGAAATATTGTGTCATTTACTATATGAAATCCTGTTCAGTTCTTTTACCTCTCAAAGCAGTTTTCAAAGTGTGTCCCTTCCACTTGTCACCACCACCACCACCATCCCCTCAGCTTCAGGAATCTGCACTTGTGCATGAGAAAGTTAAAACCACTGCTTTTGAAGGTGGCCACTCAGTGAGGTAACCACACCCTTTTAGAAACCCTACAGCAGTGGTTCTCAACCTTCTGGCCCTTTGAATACAGTTCCTCATGTTGTGACCCAACCATAAACTTATTTTCGTTGCTACTTCATAACTGTAATGTTGCTACTGTTATGAATCATAATGTAAATATCTGATATGCAGGATGGTCTCATGCGCCCCCTGTGAAAGGGTCGTTCAACCGCCAAAGGGGTCGCAACCCACAGGTTGAGAACCGCTGCCCTACAGTGAGGAAGACATACCTCATTCTGTACCACTCACCCACCTTGCTCATCGTATTTCAGCCCCAGTCTAAAGAAGCCAACTCAAGATAACATAGGCTGTGTGATTCAGTTTACATTGCTAATGGGTCATTCATGAAGGCTCTATTTTAGAGAAATAACTATACTTGGCATTCTCTGTAGTTAATATGCAAAAAGAAGTTAAGCATTTCATTGTTTCAGCAACCCTCTTTTATGTCAGTAGAGGTACATTCTGTTCTGATAACTAAACAAAAAAATTCCTTTTAAACTTTACAGTTTTGTAAAATGGTTAAAAACATTTTCCACCAATGAAACATAAAATTTTAAAGTGGTGTAGCCAGAGTATTATTCCATTCTTATTTTAAGGATTTACATGCTTAGATACCTATACCTGTATGTGGTTACAATATCTTAAATGATGGACAGAAACTTTTAACAGTGGCTGTCATGGAGACGTATGTGGTTCTTAGAAGAGCAGGTGGAGATACTTTATATCCTTGATCTGTTACAATCTCTTGCCAAGTGTATTGATTATGTTTATATTTTACACTGTAAAGCCCTTTTTGATGTTTAAACAATCCTGAAATTGAGTTGTTAGTTACAATCAATATGTCAGTTTAATTGACAGCATATTTTCTTACTTGTGGTACATAAATGAAAAGGATGAGTCTTTAAATCAATAGCATCTTTTTTTAAAATCAGTAGCGTCTTATGATTGATGACAATAGTATCCCTTAATAGGGAGTGGAGAAAAGCACCATTTTAATGGTTGACATCTACTGGGAGAAGTGAATGAGGGAACTTGTGAAGCAGCATTCTATCATTGGGTTCTGCAGTCACCTATTGAGCTGCTTCTATACACAACAAGGCGCTGTGCTCTGAGGAAGATGGGGGACATGGGGAAGAACGAGCATCTTTACTGTATTTTCTTCACTGGTTTCCGTGTCAGGGCTCGTGAGGAATGACCCTCTCCATGCGCAGTTCCCTTTATAAAACGCTCAGAAATCTGATCAGTGACTCAGTGCAGTTTATCGGCCACGGGGTGCAGCGCACACTCGCACATCTGCGAGGAGAAGGGCTGCGGTGAACTTTCCCAGAAGCGACGGGTGGAGGGGACCCACTTCCCGCTGCGGTCGGAGACGCGCTCACCAGAGACGCGCTCTAAGCAAAATAAGCGGCGTGCTCCTCCCCGCGGGCCGGCCCGGCGTCCTCCTGGGGCCCCTGGAGGGCAACGGGAGAGTCCTCTGCCCTGTGACCTGAACTGGCCCAACTCTATGAAATCCATGACAGATGGTCCAAGAAAATGGGAGCACCCCTTCACCAGGGCACGTCGTCCTCTGGGCATCCGCCTCGCGGGCGGCGCCAAGGACTGTCCCGGGCTCAGAGGGTGCCCAGCCGCTCTTCTCCTGGGAAAGGCTGCGCACGTGGTCCTAACGGCCCGGGGTGGGGGACCAAGGGCGATGCCGTGCGGACGGGAGGGGGCAGAGGCTGCCCTCACAGTTACGGAGCCCGTGAAACAGGAGCTCTACATGCGAAACGTCTACCTTCACCGAATAAGCATCCCAGGGGCAACCTTGTCACTCCAATCTAAACCTTTAAATCCGCTATTCCTAAATTACAACAGTATGAGTCACTTGCAGATTTTCAACTAAATCGCGAATTTTCCAACGGGCCGCAGCGCTCAGCCTGAGGTCCGAGGCTGTGCACGGGACTCAGGGGCGGCGCCCTGGGGCGCATTCCCGACCTGGGGGTTGGGGGTTGGGGGGCCTGCACGCGGCTCTGCTCCCCGGAGGATCAGGAGAGACGAAGAGGCAGCCGCCCAGGCCGCCGGGCCCACTTCCAAGGCCCCCGCCAGACTGAGTCACTGAGTGTTCGCGAGTCAAAGGCTCCCAAAGGAAACAATGTCTCGTCTGGTTTCCCCCGTCGGTCAGTGGCCGGCAACCCGGGGCGGGGAGGGAGGGGAAGACCTGCTGGCTGCCCCGCTGGGCTGG